CATGCATACATACATATACATATTGAGAGAGCAGAGAGCAGAGAGAACGAGAGAGCAAGAACAAAAATTGAGCATAGAGGCATCTTTTATTCAACATTTGACCATMTCGGTYGAGCGCATGAAGCGGAATGATTGTACCTTCGCATATTTTCGTAGCCCGAACCTAAAAAGTGAAGAGTCGAGCAAATACGAAATTGATAGGCCCTGGGAATCAGATTTTTCGGTGTTGAAAAACTTTGTACTACATGTCTAGTCTATGTGTTCTCTGGTTAGTGATATAAGCATACATAGAAGAAACAATTTTATAACAGGATTTCGATAAGGTTTTTATCGATAAAAAAGATCGGGATGGGTTAATACGGACAAAAAAAATTTTGAAGTCCCTAGCTCTTATATCTTCTGAAATCGACAGACGGACGGACGGACAGGGCCAAATTGACTCAGCTCTTTACCCTGATCAAGAATATATATACTTTGTGGGGTCTGCCACGCCTCCTTCTGCCTGTTACATACATTTCAACAAAACCATCATACCCTGATTTCCCATTGTAAATGGGTTCAGGGTATAAAAAATCCAGAATTCCCGCTGCCCGCTGTTTTGGAATTTATCCCGCAATTGGATTTCCAAAATAAGGCCGATTAGACGGTAAATGAATGAAAAATATGAAAAAAATCGTCGGGTTATGCGGATTGTCGTTAAAGGCGGAAACGTGCTAGGCGGTGTCTCTTTCATATAAGTTTGTTTGGGGACAAGCCAAACCATCGAATTTACGTCCTTATAACCGGTTGAACGCTTTAAGTTAAGTCGTTATAATCCGATTCCAGAGTATTTTTAATCAAACCAAATGCACCCCCTTACAAACTAATTTGCATTTTTGAAGGTATCACTTTAATTTTGAATATTAAATTGCCTTATTCAAATCAAATTAAAGCTAAATACATAATTACATAAAACCAATATTGATTGTACCTGTGAACCAAAATCGGTAATGCAGCACTTTGTGAGCGTGGCTCGTATTAGTTAATGAAAAGAAAATTAATAGTTAATATGACAAGATTTTCCTGCACATATTGTGAGATTTCCTATTAAATATCCGTATAAAGTACGATCACTTGGAAGTAGTTCATACCCGATATTCTCTAATTGATAGGGGTCTTGGATCAAGTCATATGCCTCAATAAAATTCTAGACATAAAAAGTACAATTTATTATCGTATTATATTTATTAATTCAACATAGTTACCTCAGTATCATAGAACTCACAATAAATGCGATCCAGGTTATCCCGGAAATCTCGAATACACGTGTATGTATTGTTCCACGCATCTTGGCAATGACAATCTGCATCTAGCGTACATTGCGCTAAATGGTCTGTCTGCTTCCCTGGACACTCTGAATTATATGTTTCGTCATTTCCTTCACCCCAATACTCAACGAGCAATACTCGATGTTGTGATTGTCTTTTCGTCTGATGCTGCTGTAGCAACTCATCTTTAAAAGAGCGGCCGTCAACATAATTGGGGACCGATAAGCCGACCCATTCTAAAATGGTAGGCATCAGATCTACCAAACTAACAGCGAAGTTCATTAAAATACTGCCAGGTACATATGGTCCACGAATAAGTAATGGCACCTTAATGTCAGTCTCATAAGGTTGTCGTTTATCAAACGGCTGTGCAAACTGACCCAAGTGATAACCATTATCAGAAGTGTAAATGATGTAAGTATTATCGAGGCATTGATATTTCTTAAGCAATGTTATTATGGCCATCATCATTTCATCAACTGCGAGAAGGGTTTCCCAGCGTTTTTGGAAATACTTATCAACTGTGAACACAGTTGTATTCGGCAAACGCTTGGCTGTTCTAACCAGCCAATGTTTATCTGCAGAAATAAAATAAGTTTAAATATATAATATCGAGCAAGACATACCTTTACTAGGAGCGTTAAAGCTTGGAGTACGTAACGCTCGCACATGAGAAAATACACCTTTATGCCGCGGTGCTGGAGTGAAAGGCGCGTGAGCGGCTGGGGGTGAAATCATTGCAAAAAAGGGATTCTGGCCTTTTCTCACATTATGAATAAATTTTACCGTTCGGTCTCTTAACATATCAGTTAAATAAATATCCGCATAGCTGACATTTCTTCTATTTTCACGTATTGTATAGTTATAGTAGCGAGAGTTTCCGTGAAGGCCATAAAACGTATCCCAACCTGGCGGAACTTCAGCGCCTTTATACTGATTTAAATACTTTCCAGCAAAAAATGTATGATATCCATGCTTTTGCAACAACACTGGCAATGTACGTGGCTCAGATAGTGTACGCCAATGATGCCCATTGCAACCACCATTTACCGAATTATTAAAAGTCAGATGGTTATGAGCATACTGACCTGTTAATAGGCTTGCTCGCGCAGGACAACAGAGTGGTGTGCTTGTATATGCATTCGTAAACTTAGTACCATACTCAGTAAGAAATTCTGTAGTTTTTTGTAGTGGATGCAAGCCATGTAGCTCTACGTCCTGATCATCAGTCAACAATAAAAGTACATTCGGTACCGGCGATTGGATGAATCCAATTGTATGATCGATGAAAAATAGAATACTGATATACAGAATCATATTAATCTATATTGGTTATACAAAATATATTGTTTTCATTTTAGAGTCGTTTGGTAAATAAAAGGCAAACGTTTAAATAAACTTACTTCTTTTTGAGAATTCTGTTTCCGTTTACTATTATACTAGTATGAACTAAAGCAGGGTGACCGCGCCGGACCAAACGAAAAATACCAATCTGGTCTCAAAAATATACTATAAAATACTATTTCATATTTTA